CTTTTGAACTGTGGTGTTGGAGAAGACTCTTGAGAGTCCCTTGGACAGTAAGGAGATCAAACCTGGAGATCCTAAAGGAAATCAACCCTGAATATTCATTGGAAAGACTGATGCTGAAGCTCCAGTACTTTGGCCATCTGATGCAAAGAGCTGACTGCTTGGAAAACACCCTGATGCTGGGAAAGATTGAGGGCAAAAGGAGAAGAGGATGAGATGGTTGGATGGCATCACCAACTCAGTGGGCATGAGTTTGAGCAAACTCCAGGAGACAGTGAAGGACAAGAAAGCCTGGCGTGGTGTAGTCCATAGGGTCACAAAGAGTCAGACATGACTGAGCGACTGAACAACCACCACCACGGAGGTACCATGAGCTGAGTTGCTTAAGTATGGGTGCTGGAACTGGTCACCCACTGGGATGACTCTGATTGGATTGGAGGAGACCAATCAGCCACACCCCTGGGGTCAGCCCCCTTTGAGCCCCCTGGATGGGTTAAGTGATGAATACATGTCTGAACAAATGTGAGCTTTGTTGACAAGGAAAGGGTGGACCAAAGACCTGAATATCAGTGGCACGTCCCCTTGGCCTACCTTTGATCTCAGCTAAAATTGTGGTGGGAAGTATTGTGCAAACCCAGATTCACCTAGCATTGCTGGCTTCTTAGCCAAGGCTTCCATATTTTCCATCCCTGTGGGAGTCTCCTAGAGGTGTTCAGGTGTTCGCCAGTGGCAACCAGAGCTGCTGAGTAAAAGTGTCTTATGTTGTCACAGGTGGAGAATTGTGAGAAACATCCCAGACCATTTGGACCTTTTTTGGATCCTTCTCAGAAAATAGCAGTACCAGGTCCATTACTATAGCAACAACCCACTAACACACTCTCTGTCTCATTCTTCTTGCCCTTGCACTCCTGCTTCCTGAAATCACCTCCCAAATAAACTACCTGCACTCACGACTTTGCCACTGGGAAGTCAAAACTAAGGCAAAGGGGGAATTTCATGTATCATCCTCAATAGTTCTGAGCCTTGCCTGTGTTAAAATTACACATGTCTTGTTAGATGACCTTGGACCAGGCACCTGTCTGTGCCTTGGTTTCTTAACTTTCAAAATGGCCTTCATAATGGTGCCTAACTTGTACAGTTGTTGAGAGAATAAAGAGATGATATAAGTAAGGTCCTTAGGACAGTGCCCAATGCACTGTAAGTGCTCAATAAATATGATACTATGTCAATATCATATTGTCAAATATCAAATCAAATATGTTTGATAACATTTAAAATTTATAATAGATCTCTAAGGTCTCTCTGTCTTTGCACTTCTAGACTAGTCCCAATGTATTAGCCCAGGCTCTTGTTTGCAGGCGTAGAAAGCCAACGTGAATCAGCTTAATGAAAATGGAACATTTGGCTCCTCCCTTGACTGTAAGGTGAAACTAGGCCTCAGAGTAAAGTGGGTTCGGAGGCTTTTTTCTGTCTCTCCCTTGGCAGAGGGATTACCTCCATGTGATAGGAACGTGGCTATCAACAGGGGTTATCTTTGGCTTTTAGTAGTAGAAAGCTGACAAGAGAGGCTTAAAATGCCCTAACATGTTTCCTCTCATGACAGAGAATCTGGAAGTGGGAAGTCCAGGACTGGGATGGCCGCTTCACTGTCTCTAGGGGCACAGGCCCTTTCTGTCAACTCCATCATTTTAGAGTAGGGTCACCTCCTAGTTCAAGGGTGTTCCTGAAGGGCCAGCCTGGAAGAAGGTGGAGAAATGGAAAGGCAAAGGATATGACCCCCTCCTTTTTCGGGCGTTGTCTCTGAAGTTCCACATCACACTTTCCCTTGTGTGTCATTGACCAGAACTTGGTCACGTGGCCACTGCTGGCGGCACGGGCAGCTGGGATATGTAGTCTTCATTCAACGTGGCAATGTGCTCAGCTAACAACGGAGTTCTCCTACTAAGGAAGGAGAGGATGGATATTGATAAGTAGCTAGCAATCTGAGCCACAGCTCTCAAGTTACAGGTCTTATGATTTGGAGAGAGGAAATTTCCAAGTTCTAGTCAGATGCCCAAATCTGAACCAATCATCTATGGCCATGAGGGAAACAGACTTTTTTTTTTTTTTAAAGCATAAGCCACCATTATTGATTATGACTTAAATGTGTGTAGTTCATTAAAAAAAATTATTGGTCATCTGCTATTGGCTAGGTATTGCGGTAGTCCCAGGAAATCTTAGGTCAGTCCCTGACCCAAAGGACTGTCAGTGCCTTTCTCATGAAGCTTATAATCTAATGGGGGAGACAGAGAATAAACAGATATCACAGTAATTAATGGAGAAGTGTACATTATCGGTTAGTGCTGTGAACCAAGATCATGTGGTCCTTGAGGAAGTGATCATCAAGCTGGGAGATAAAGACCTGAAAAAAAATAACTAGTCAACAGTGGTGGTGTTGGCATTGCAAATGAAGTATGTTACTGGTGGTCAGAAAAGCTTATGCAAAGGCCCTGTGGCAGCCGGGAAAGCAAAATTGCTAAACAGTGGTGGCTGTAACTCAAACAGCAAAGGGGCTTATGTCTGAAGATTCAGCTAGAGTGATAGAGTCAGACTGGGTAGGTCTTTGAAAACAGGGTCCTCTCCCCAGCCCCCACAGTGAGAAATCATTGAGGCATTCAAACATAGAAGAGGAATAGGAGTGACATAATCAGATCTGCATTTTTAAAAAGACCCCTGTGGTCACTATGGAGAGAGGAAGGGAGGTGGTGGAGGCAGAAAGGATCCGGGGTCACCAGTAAGAACGTAAGAGATGATGGTAGCTATGGTCTAGGGTGGAAACTGAGAAGAAAAAGAGAAAAAATAAACAGAACCTGATGGATTAGATGGAAGGGTAAAGGAGACAGATGCAGGAGAGAACCACATCATGGCTTCAGACTTGGTCTGGTCTATGGTACTTTGGGGATATCTATGTGGAGGTGGTTTGCAGGGAGATGTGGATTTGCAGCTCAGAGAGGAGGTCAGAATTGAAAATGTAAATTTGCAAGTCATCTGCATGTGGGTGAAAATTGAAGCTGTGGGCGTGATTGCTTCATGAGAATACACAGTGAGAAGAGGAGTCTAGGAGAGACCTTGAGGAGCACAGACCAGGACAGAGGGAACAGGAAGTGGGTTCCTTCCTTAGGCACAGGAAGATGAGTCTGCAAAGTCACTAAGTGGAGCAGCCAGTCAGGGCAGAGGAGAGCCAGAGTTGCATCCCAGGGGCCTTCTTTTGAGAAGACTGTGAAAAGCAGACTGGACATATGCTAATTGACGTGCTCTGGGCTGCAGGTAATGGAGACATGGGCTTTCCCATCTCTGCTCTGCTATCCAGGCTGTGGGCTTCATGCTAGGGCTGGTTCCCTTTAAGGTCACAAGATGACACATTAGATGTTTATTAATATAAAATGCTGTCTAGAGTGGGTTCTGTTCCCTGGACCTGAAACAAATGTAACTGATGCAATAACCAATCAGGAGCAGTGTGGATGGCCAGGGAAGGTGTCAGATGCCTGGGCCCCTCAGAGTCCCTTTGGAAACTTGGTGGGGGATTTCCATACTGCTGTCATTGTTGGGAGACACCTAGCACTTAGCTCAGGATGCAGTCAGCCTGTCCAGAGGTGTATGAAAGGAAAGGTGGACAGGCACCAGGCTAAGGGTATAAAATTGGAGTGCCCTTCTATAAAAAGAAGAAAATTGAAAGGTGGCTCAAAGGGAGATGGAGTTCCAGCCTATACTCCCAAACCCCCAGCCTGGCATTGTGCCCTCAGAGCACACCCCCACCCTGTGAGTCTGTGCTGGGGGGTTGGAGTTAAATGGCACGATGTTAGTAGTCCCCAGTGAACTTGTTTAGTAAGGCAAGGAGAGATTTGCATTTTGAAGGCTCACCAAGCCAGCTGGCAAGGAGGATGGACTGGTGCCCCACGAGCTTACTGAACACTTTTGGTGACAGGTAGCTCACAGGCTCCAGGGGCAGCTGCTAGTTTTGGGACAATGTTGCTGAGCCAAAGTCAACCTTTTTGCATGCCTGCATTTGCCACTTGTATGACCAACAGGACTGGCCAGAACACACACACCCACCTCCCCCACCCCCGGCCCAGAGAGAAGGGTGAAGTGGGGAAGAATATAGGGATTGTAAACTGGCTGTCAAGGGACAAATCTGGCCCACAGTTGTATTTGTTTGAGAGGTGCAGTTAATTTGAATTGCAATTAAGGTGAGACCTGCTGTTTTCAGGTGCCACCATCCCCTAATGTCTTAGGGCAGCTTGCCTCATTCACTTATGTTATTAATCTGGGTCTTGAACCCTTTCAGTTTGCAATCCCAGTATATGAGGACCATTTAGGACTGAGGTTGCCCGGAACCTTGTGGATGTCAAGGGACTCCTTGAGCTGTGTGACTGCTGGTGACAGCTACAGGCTGGTCAGGCTGGTGGGGGGTGGGGAGGGATTGAGTGGAAAAAAAATCTGGCTGCCTCTTAGATGTCCCCCCACCCGCACTTGTCCCCATCACAAGGTCTAGAGGCACTGATGAGTGGCCAAAGTCCCTTTAATATCCCTGAATTGCCTTACAAGTAATACTGCTGAAGGTGAGGAAGGGATGGGAGTCTGGGGTGGAAGATGGGGGAGGAGAAGGGAGGGAGAGCGCCAAGCGCTCATACAAAATATGGCCAAAAGGCTTAGCATGCATGGAAAATTATTGCTGTCGGAAGTTCCTATTTACAGGATCAACACCCTCCATAATTGCTTCTGCATCCCCTCTCCCTCCCCTCATCCCTGCCGCATCCCTTCCCAGGTGGGCCTGGAGCTGAGAAGCCCTAGGGAAGTGCCCCTGCCTCGGGGGATGGGGGGTGGAAGTTCAGGCTCCACCCTCATTTGCGGCTTAGGGAAGAGGGGGGAGGGTCAGAGATTCTGGGACTCCTGCCCCCGAGCTGGGCGCCTAGAGATGGGGCAGAGGCGTGTGCTTAAAGCAGAGGGGGCAAGGGTCCGCGAGCATGGAGGTGTGTGCTTCGGTCCTCGCCCGGGCATGCAAAAGCGCGGCGGGGGAGGTAGTGGCGGCCAACGGGGGGGCTGCTGGGAGCCCCGGCCCCTCTGCCCGGGAGAGTTGCATAGACGTGGCGGGAGGGAGCGCTCCTCCCGTGGAGCGGAGCGGAGCGGGCCGGAAGCCCCAGTGGGTCCGGGGCTCAGTCGGTCCCTGGAACTTGGGGTTCCTCAAGAAGAGGAATGAATAGGAAACATATCGGGGAGGCTCCTCTTTCCGGTCTCCCTGCAGTGGGAATAGAAGGCTCAGGAGGGCGGGGACCTGCCCCAAGACTGACCTCCTGATGTCCCCTTCCCCCCAGTTGAGGGTCAGCAGGCTATCCCTCTCGTTCTCACGCCCCCTTCCCCAGCAAGTTCAGGCTCTGATGAGGGTAGGGCTTCTCCCCACTCCCCGAAATGGGGTGTGTTGGGTGGGGGGACAGCCTTCTATGGCCTTTGCTATCCCTCTCCTTGACTGGCTCCCTGACCTCCCAGTCCAGCTGGGGAAGCCAGACCATTACTGGGTGAGGGCAAGAGATTAATTAGAATAGTAAATAAATAAATAAATACAGAAATAAATACACTGGAGAGGCCCAGCCGGATGGGGAGAAGGGCATTTGTGAGGTGCCCCAGACCTCCCCCAACAGATAAAGAGGGTACCTGTAGTCCTGTGGGTAGGGAAAGTGCTCAGAGAATCTGCTGGAGAGGCTGGAAGCCCAAGGAGGGGCTATCCCAGGGTGAGAGAGGGGCTACATTAGGGGGCCGAGCCCTGAACTGACCCTCATGTCTGCCCCAGGTCAGGTGAACTCAGAGGGTTGAGAGCTGCTAGTGGGATGTGGGGTCTGGAGAGAGTAGGGGGGTGGTAATGAGTGAGAAGGTCCCCCAGAGGATGAGGAAGGTGGTGTGTGAATGGCTAGACTAAGGCCAAGGTAAGGGCAGGGGGATCTGGGACAGACTGGATTAGATTCCTAAGGCCTGCGTCCTAGTGTGGATGGGAAATCCATGGCAGGCATGAGAGTCAACGGAAGGTTTAAGCCTTAAGAGTGGGGGGCTCCAGTAGAGAACCGGCCTGAAACGCAGTTGGGAAGTGAGAGGAAAGGTCTGCAGGTTAGAAGGGGAGAGCTGCAGGGTCTGGACGGGAGAAAATTCCGGCTAGGGGGCCCGGCAAAGGTGCGGACCTGGTGCCTGAGTTGGGAGCCTTGAGGGCGCGGACAGCGGGTCAAGGTCCGAATCTTGGTAGCCGGTAAGGATGAGGCGGGTCGGGATGTACTTGGGGAAGAGTGGCGGAAGCGAGTTTTGGGTTTGGGGGTCGGAGAGAGAAGTTCCGGTCTGGGAGTAGGGTCCCCACGAGGGCCGTGGGCAGGGGGACGCAGCTGGGGGACCCGGGGGCGCGGTGGGCGGCTCAGCTGGTGGGGCCGGCGGGCGGCGGCGGCGGGGGTGGCTCGGCCCCCTTGACGCAGGCGGCCTCGCAGTGCTTGTGGAGGTAGGACTTGAGCGCGAAGCTCTTGTCGCACTGGCGGCAGCGGTAGTGCTTGAAGGCCGAGTGCGTCTGCATGTGCGCGCGCAGGTTGGAGCGGTCGGCGAAGGCCTTGCCGCAGTGCGCGCAGCCGAAGGGCTTCTCGCCGGTGTGCGAGCGCATGTGGCCCTGCAGGAGCCATGGCCGCGAGAAGGCCTTGCCGCACACGCCGCACTTGTGGCGCAGGTTGTGCGTGAGCACATGCATGGCCAGCGCGGGCATGGACACGTATGCCTTGCCGCACGTCGGGCACTTGCGCGCCAGCTGGCTGTCCAGGCTGCGGTGCGTCTGCTTGTGGCGGCTCAGGTTCGACGACGTGGCGTACGTCTTGCCGCACTCGGCGCACGCGTGCCGGTGCCCGCCGCCCGCCGGCGTCCCCGCGCGCCCCGCGCGCCCCCCGCCGCTCCCGGCGTCCCCCGCGCCGCCCGCGTCCCCGCCGCGCCGCCGCCGCGAGCGCCCGTCCGAGATGAAGAAGGCGTCCATGGAATAGCTGTCGGTCACGGCCGCCTCCCCGCGGAAGTAGCGCGCCGACAGGCTGGACTGAGGGCTCTCGGGGTCGCTGTACTCTTCCGGGGCCGCCGGCGGGTACGCGGGCTCGGCCGGCGCCAGCTCCAGGCCTGGCTTCTGGTCCGCATCGTAGCTGCTGGGGGGCAGGCAGTGCGGGGCGTAACCTGGAGGGGATGAGACAAGGGCGGGGAAGGTGAAGCGCCCAGGAGGCGACCCCGTGGCCTCTCTTTGGGAACTGAAGTTTGCTTGTATAGCAGCAGTCGCTATCCTGCTTCTGTGGTTCTGGGGTCAGGATGCCCCTGTTCAGATCCTAACTCCGTGGGCCACAATAAAAATCACCCACCTCCATCCTTGTGGAGCACGGTGGGGTTGAATTCTACTGACTTGGTGTTGACTATCTTCTTAAGTGCTCAAGGCCACGAAGGAAGGTATTGTATAGTCTGTACAGAGAGAGAAACTGAGGCATATAGTCTAAGCCCACAAGTATTTGGTGGAGCCGGGATCCAAACCTTGGCAGCCTGATGCCAAAACCCAGGCTTTCTTTATTCCAGCAGCATTCTGTCATTCGAGTCCTTTGACATATCTGAATCTTAGCTTCCTCACTTGCAAAATGGAGCTTATGATCGGACACTCCTTCCCAGGGTCTTTGGGAAGGACTGAGTAAAGTGACGAAAAGAGCCATGCATTAATTGTTCCTGTGCACCAAGCTCCGCCTCCATGCTTTACTCTCGTTAACTCATTTAGTCATCACTGACCCTATGAAGTAGATCCTGTTTTAACTCCCATTTTACATATAAGGAAGTAAAGAAAGAGCACACAGTAATTGCTGTATAAATGTTAGCTCTTACAATTATGCTTTTTACTTGCTTGAAAAAGCGACTTCACTGAAAATTATTTAATTGTCTGCCCCCCGCCCCCCACCAGACAGTGAGCTTCTCGGGGTGAGATCTGTGTGCCCAGCACGTGCCTGGCTCAAAGGAGGTGTACAAAGAATAGACATTGCATGAACGAATCACAGTCCTGTTAAACCCACCTCCCAGGGTTGCTGGGGGATTTAAAAGAGGTCAAGTACGTGGCATGTAATAAATGCTCCAAGAAGGGCATGTCACTGTAACTTGCTCGCAAGCCCGTTTTGCTCCCTGTTCCACTGGAAGCCTTCTGGAGTCCCCTTGTGAGATTCATCCCCCTTCTAAGCCCCTCCTTCTTCTCTAGAGTTGGATCAGAAATCCTGTCCATTTCAGGATCTAGTGACTGTTGGGTGGGTGGGCTGGCACCCTCCCAGGGCATTCTACAGGGGCTTTCCAAGTGCAGGGACCACCCTGATTTGACTCTGCCTCCCTGGGCCTTGCCTGGTCCCAGCACCCTCCCTGAGGGCCCTGGGACCTGGGCTCCCAGGAGAGTTTCTGGCAGATAATACACAAACTTATGAAACTGGCCCTGAAATACCAATTATTTCCCTTGTCCTTTGATTGCAAAAAACAGTGGGGGTTAGGCTTCTTTACCTGGAGTAGCAAAGCGGGAAATATGACCCTCCACCACCCCCAGCATCCTTGATTCAAATGAGCAGGTGGAAGAGGGCTTTGTGAGCAGGGGGCTGGTTTCAGAGCATTCATCCCTTGAAACAACCTGCCTGCTTCAGCCTTTGTGCTTTTGCCTCTCTTCTGGCCTTTGGGATGGTCACAGGGTGAAGTCTGTGCAGAAGGCACCCCGGCCCAGAAAGTGTACCTTTATTTTTTAACCCTGTCCCTTCAGCTGCCCAGCAGGGACCTCTACACACAATGACTGGGGGTTGTGGAGGTGGAAGACTCAGTAGGGAGGGCACTGGTCAGATGCAGAGAGGGCAGTGGTGGTGGCAGTTTTATAATGGGGCAGGTTTGCAGCCTCTCAGCACCCCATTCTCCCCTCCTGTCTGCCTTTCATCTGGAGGTTCCCCTTCCTCCCACTCCAGGAATCAGGCCTGGTACTAAAGCCTCCAAAACTTTCAAGGAGTGTTGTTTCAGACTGAGTCAAATACCTGTTAGGCATGCCTAGATACCCTCTTTCTTCTGTGTTTCTTCCCATTGTGATTATTGATGATCATGATAATACTAGCTGATATTTACTGAGCACTTATGAAGTACATGGCAACCCACTCCAGCAATTTTGCTTGGGAAATCCCATGGACAGAGGAGCCTGGTGGGCTACAGTCCATGGGGTTGCAAAGAGTCGGACACGACTGAGCAACTGAAGAAGATACTATGTACCAAGCTCTGTGCTAAGTGCTTCACTCCCGTAACCTTGCTGAATCACCACAAAAATACTTGTGTTACAGATGAGGAAACAGATGCAGAGTGGTGGTGGTACTTGCTCAAGGTGGGACAAGAGTTGGAACCCACTGCACTGCTCCTCTTCCACATGCTGGGAGGAGGGGGCATGGCTGGGTTGTTCATCTACTGGCAGAGCCCCAGCTAGTGAGCACTTGGTAAGTATTTGTGAAATGGGTGGTGAATGGGTGATGAAGATTCGCCAGGCCAGCCTCAGTCCCTAGTGGAGCAGGGTCTGCCAGGACCATTCTGTCTACCAGATCTTGGGACAACTTGATTTCCTGACACTGATTCTAGCTGGGTGACCTACAGCAAGTTGTACGTCTTCCTGCGTCTTTGCTCTGTTCTCTGGGTATGGGGATAGTATAGAATCCATTTGGAGGGGGTCACTGATCATGTGACCTTGGATGTGCTATTATTAAGGAATGATGGCATATTGGTTAAGAGCACAGTTTTGGTACCAGACTACCAGGATTGAGTTCCAACTTTACTATTGCTGGCTGTGTGATCTTAGACAAAGTGTTTGACCCGTCTATGCCTCTGTTTCCCCAGCTGTGAAATAGGGGAAAATAAAAGCACCTAACTCACACAGTTTGTAGTACAGAGTCCATGAATAAACAAACAATAAGTGAAAAGTGGACAAATAACCAACATTCCCAGAGCACTCTTGTGTCTGATACTGTTTAAAGGTTTTACACACGAATGCGTCCCACCCTCATGGCTCTGAGGTTGGTACCATCTTACAGATGAGGAAACTGGGGCATAAAGTAGTTGTTAAGCACCATGCCCAGGGTTGTGCAGCTAGTAACTTAGAGCCAGGATTCCAACCCAGTGCCTGGCGTGATACATGTTGGCTGTTACTCTGAACAATAACAATCTCCCCAGGTGGGTTTCTCTGCTGGAAACCTACAGTTTTCTTGGCATCTGCACAGACACATCTTGCACCTCCAACCTGGGCCACTGTTTCCTCACCCAAGATGTGTAGGTTCTGGCTCACGCTCTGATGAGAAAACTGGTGATCCAGAAAATTGGTAACAGCTCAATGGTCTGGGCAGTCCTTGCCCTAGCGGGACTCTTTCTGTGGTGCCCTCTGGTGGTGAGTTTTAGTACTGCAGTACTCCCTCCTGTTGCTGGGGGTCTCTATATAGAAATACTGGCACCTCAAAGGCTGAGCCTCTGCTTAGGGACAGATGCGGAATTGCCTTCTGGTCAGGAATTGTGGGGCCAGACATGGTGGCTAGCAGCTGCGGAGTTTGGCATGAGTTGTGGGGTGGGAGTTGAGGGTTGCATGAGAGTTTTCTGTGGTCGTCTTGGTGGAGGTGGTTCTAACTTCCTTTGTGATCGTGATCAGGTTGCCTAACCTCTCTGGACTCTGTCTTTACCTGTAGAAGGTTGACTGAGATGCTCGAAAGACCCTTGTTGCATCGTGGCTGAACGGACCCCTCAGTGATGCCCATTGTCCTGTCCCCTACCCCCCAATCCCTATCAGCTCCATCTCATTCTCAGACTCACAGACCTTTCCCTAGCTATGTGACCTTGAAAGTGAAAGTTGCTCAGTCATGTCCAACTCTTTGTGACCCCATGGACTATACATTCCATGGAATTCTCCAGGCCAGAATACTGGAGTGGGTAGCTGTTCCCTTCTCCAGGGGATCTTCCCAACCCAGGGATCAAACCCAGGTCTCCCGCGTTGCAGGCGGATTCTTTACCAGCTGAGCCACCAGGAAAGCCCATCTGACCTTGGGCAAGTTATTAAACCTTTTTGTGCTGCATCTGGATAAAGAAACTTATAAAAGGACTGACTGAATTAATGGTGTACAATGCTTAGTTCAATGCCTGGCACACAGTAGACTCTCAAGCTGTTATTTAATTGTCATTATTATTGTTCCTACATTTTCTAGTGGTACCCTCTAATCTGCTAAAGAGTGAAGGGGACACACGTGGGTCATCTCAGGCTGCTGTGTTACCTTGGGCAAACCACCTCACCTCTCTGGACCTCAACCCTGGAGAATCCTTTAGGACACTATAGAGGCAGTGCTTTTCTGACTCCTTGCATGGAACTCACACAGGTTTTAGATGCCTCCCTCTGTCCTACAGGTGACCATAGAAGGATGAGTTACCTGTCTCCCTGCCGACAGGGTGAGATAGGCCTCTCTTTTTTGGAAACAGATAGAGGCAGGGAGGGCCAGGGATCCAGGGAGACAAGACTGACTCTTTTACTCATATTCCATCTGTGTGACCATGGGTAAGTCACAAAGCCTCTCTGGGCTCCAGTGCCCCATTTGAGGGATAGAACAGAGCCCCTCCAGTCACATGGGGCTATAAGGAAGGCTCAGAAACACTTAGGAGAAGCGGAGATGTCATGTACATCACCTGAGAATCACTTTTGATTTTCCCTGCTCAAGAGTTTTGATATTTTAGACTGAAGGTCCAGAATACATTTTAAAAAATTTTGCAAGGGAATTTTATGAGAAATCAGGTGCTGGGCATTTCACAAACATTGTCTCTCCCAACTGTCTGACCCCCTGGGATGAGGGTGGGGGGAATCTCTGAGAAGCACTGCTGCTTCCAGCTGCCGTTGTGCCCACCCCCTGTGCCAGGCACTGCACTAAGCCCGGAGGCCTGGAGAGGGCAGAGGAGTTGCTCAAGGTCACTGGAGGAGGAGTAAGGCTTGAAATCCTCCAGAATCTGTGTTTTTTCCCCCCGAACCCCTGAGCAGGCATGGAGACCTGTTGAGGGAGGGAAGATTTTCAGTTGGTGGGAGGCAGGGGCGGTGAGTTTCTTCACCACCTAGTTGGCCTGTGTCTGGTGTAATGACGGGGTATTGGGGGTGGGGCGAAGCTATTCTTCTAGAAAATGCA